GTTCTGCCTTTCTCGTCGATCGTGACTCGCGAGATCTAACTGGAGCCCCGAAATGGACAATCATCATGGCGATGGTAATTTTTGAGGTTATGAAAATTAGCTCAGCCTTTAAAGGCTCAGATGAAAGTAGCTGAATTTGCATTCCTTCGTGATTCTCGTTTCAGTTCTTCGATAATTTCGTTTTATTGAAGCTGTAAGTCCGTACTTTCCACTCCTTCCGCGTTTCTTTCGAGCTGCGAGGTCTTCCTTAAATATCAAAGCATGAAGTCGTGACTTCTCGGGGAATGACACGTCACTGTCGTCTGCTCGCTGTGTTTTCTCCTGGTGACACAGCGGCCGGAGCGCGAGACTGACCACTGGCCTCAATCTGGAACCTCCATTCCTCCATACGCCTGCATGGCGAACCGATTAATCACGGGGACAGATTTCTCGTCCTGAATAAAGCGGAATTGGCCGCAGGTCTGCGTGTACTTCATCGCGATGTCGGAGTTTTCTGGGGTCAGTGGTCTCTTTGATCCTCGCGGCTTAACCTCTGCCCTTAACTCTCAGTGTCCGACTTCCCTGTCGGATGAAAGTAGGCAGTCACGAGAAATGATTTCGCGTCTAGAGTTTTAATGGCCTTTCGATTACGAGAGTCACACGGCTGTGTGTTTAACGATGATCTGGAGAATGAAATGAAGGAGTGCCAGGTCCTTTATTTCAGTTGTGTAGAAGGCAGTGTTTCGACCCGGTGGCCACTGTTGCTATGGCGACGAACTCCGCTACATTGAGACAAGACGCGAAAACCAGAGGCCGTCGAAGGTTTATCCACGTATCTGGTTTTAAATATACATTCCGCTTGAAATGGAAAGTTGTAGATGTTAATTAGGGCGATGCTTAGTACCACGTAATCTCGTTTCTTTTTGCGATGGACAACTCATAAGAAATGCTCGTGCAGTACAGCGAAACAGCTGGCAGAATTTTGCTTCCCGGGTTGGGCCCTCCTTCCACTTCGGCGCCCGGAAATGCGAATGCGTCGACGAGGTTGAATTCCCCTGTTTCGGATTTGCCGGAAATTCTTCCTGCCGTTACAGACGGACGGACGGACGGCGGGACCAGTTTCGATTGGCGTTCCGTGGGGTTACGAACCCCCCCCCCCCCCAGATTATGATGATGGTCCTCCTGGACCGAAGGGTTTACTAGATATAGTGATCAGTTTACGGGCAGGAGGACGGAGTTCGATGTCTGGTAGGGGCAGTGATGCTTTGTCTTCGTCAGTACGTTTGGTTCGACTCCCGATATGTCGTCTGATCGACCAGGTCGCGTGATCTCCGAGTTTCGACCTTGAGAACGCATGGAACTCGACGCCTTCGTGCCGTGGTTATGATAGCAGATGGAGAGCTTTGCCCCAACGATGTTCGAGGTTCCCGCCCTCCCCAGGAATTAGGTTGTCTCCGGAACACCTTCGGCCTCTCCCGTAGCCCAAGACGGCCGCTCTGTGCATCTCCGTTCGATGTTTCACCCTTTGTTCAGTTTCGTCAAGACACTTTCCCGGGCTTACGTCTGTACGAATGTGGAACGGGACCCTTTCAGTTCGTCCTTGTAGGTTCTTCGTCGTAAGTTGTCCTTTAAATAGCTTCTCAGTCTCCGTCCTTCCTCATTCCCATTGCTGTATAAGCGATCCACGCCCTGAAGATGGGTGCGATTATTTTCTCCGAAACGTTGGTAGAACCTGTCAGTGCGGAGCGCACTTTTTCTCCGGGGTTTTCCTCAGTGTCTGTACACGCATCTCGTGATCTCGCGTGACCTGGCAACGGGTCGGGGTTCCATGAGACCGACAGCGGCCTCGTCGCTTTCCCCCGAATCTTTCCGCTGACCGTGGCACATCCGGTCTCCGTCCAATTGGCTACTTCGAGAGAGAAAGTGACCGCGGACTATTCGGAGAAAGTTAATTCCGATTATTGGGCGATGAAGACACTATTTTCTTTGACAGTTTTCCAGAGGTGGACACTTCTTCAAAACGTGTTCCTTGACACAAATGTACGCGCGTTAAAAGGTTTCGCGTGTTTTAACTTTCTCCAGCAAAATATCGCTGCCTCTGAGATGTCCTTGACTCAGTTAATGACGGTTTGCGTAAGAATTTGGCCGTGGGCCTTTCGAATGCGCTGTTTCTTTCACGATATACCGTTCGTTTGTTCACTTTTTCGCGGAGAATTTTTGCGGAGTGGGTGACGTTCACAAAATGTGTCGGAGTCTGAAATGACTCGAGGTCTCAGTTGCCATGGCGAAGGCAGAATTCTCCTTCTGCCTGTCAAGCACCGCGGCGTTGAGGCTCCACGCGCTCTTACGACACATCAGGGCTGGAAATGGACCAGAAAACGTTTATCCCCGTCCACTGATTGAAAGCCGTGAGATGGCATGACTGTAGCCCCGAAAACGATACCTGGAGGAACAAATTCCCGAAGTTGCTCTATAAAACTTCCCCGGGCGTCCCATCTGAACTGGAGCGTTTACCCAGATTTGGAAAGCCATTTCCGCCCCTGTATAGTTTAACGAATGGTTCGATGATGATGAAGCGGTCTTGGCGTGGTGTCCCGTAAATTGTCCGGAGGAACTGGGGAAAACCACCGAGCCCCTGTATCCGCGGGTCGAGATGTGAACCCGAGACCTCCCGAAAGCGAAGCAGGAGAGCTAAGCCTCTGGTGTCATTCGGTTGGCCGAGTCCTCGTGTTCTCGAGAGCTGGAGCTGTAACTAATTGCGTAACGCCGGTCCACCGAGTGCGCCAGAGTTGCTTATGCAATGCTCGGTTATGCACGGCGAAATCTCACGTCCTGGGACGTCGCAAGTGCCTTGAGAACAAGAACGCGGGTGTCTTAATTGGATAACGCAACGACGGTCTTCATATGTCGTGGGGACTGACGTCCGAGCGGTCGGTCGAGTAGAAAGTAGGCTTTAAGACATTTCGTTGTTTTCAGAAAGTTTGTTGCAGCGACCGTTGACCACTTTGGGTACATAGACGTTGGGCGTCAGGAATAGTTTGGGTTGGAACCTACTGCTCTATCTTCTGGGTAGATATGGCGTTAGGTTCGGTATTCTGGGTTGTCAGGGCTTATCTCCGGCGAAGTGCAAGAATCTTTAGTCAGGACGCTTATCGCCCTGATGATGGAGGCAGCAAGGGCCTCTGAAACGTTGGTAAACTTCTTCCAGACCACGCGGTGCTTCATGCTTGGATGGATCAGTTCTTGCTGTCTGCTATGCGGACTGCCCGGGGTTCGATCTCCTTCAGGGTCGCGGGTTTGTATTTCCGCGTTGCGCCTTGACCGTGTCAGCAACCCGCCCAGCACGTGATCCTATATTCGGCAGGGGGGAGGGGAGATGACCACCCCCTTCCTCCCCGTGCCCGTTCCACTTCCTTGGATTTGCTCGAAGGACGAGTGTGCCTCGATCTGCCTTTCGCTCTGCGTGTAGCCTGTTTAAACAAGCTACAAAGAAAGGCTTTGCAAACGCAAAGTTTTGTTGGACAGGGTGTCAGGTAGAAACACTTCGGAACTCTCGTACGTGCCATTTTGTCCAACATTCTTCTGTCCACGAACGTCGGAGTGCAATGGACCACGACATCAGTTCTTTAGAGCTCGAGAAAGCCAGTGGTTTATCCACAAGGAACGTGTTCAGCGACATTCTACTTGAATTCCGAATACTCGTGGAACTGGTTTCGCAAATTCAGGTGTGTAGTCGCCTATCTGATGCCTTTCCCATTCAGAAAGGACCATTTTGGTTAGAAAAGCAGAAGGGAAGACAACTCGGAAGAACTAGACATAGATGGAACAACAACATTGAAATGGAACCAAGGAAGGTGTAGTATGATGTTGAGTGGATTCATCTGGCTCAGGATGGAGGCCAGTGGCGGGCTGTTGTGAACACGGTGATGAACGGAAGTAAGTTGACTGGCTGAGCGACTGTCATCATATCAAGGAGTTTCAGAAGGCAGGTCTGAGGAGAACCACGACGAACTCGGAATACGCGGAAGCTGGGTCCAGATTTGGAGCTGGGTGCGCCCTGAATGCTTGACCGCTGTGCTAACCTGCGCCCGCGTCCGTGTTTCTGGTCCGCAGGTTGCCGATGGCTGAAGGCGTGTTCTTTGCGGACAATGAGAACTGCGAGTCGCGAAGGCGATCAGGTTTTTCGAATCGGTCGTGTGGCGTAGGGCTCGGAACTGTTCACGGATATCCTGGACGCTTTCTGACAGCGCCGAGGGGTGTGACGTAAGAGGAACTTGGGAAAAATGAAGCAAGCCCCTTCTTTGGGTAAACTTCCTTGCTGTTAAGTGGGCCGGAGCGTGAGGCTGACATCTCGCCTGAATGCAATGTCGACATTGAATGTGCGTGGAACTGTCGCTGCTCTGCGTCAGACTTGTTACGTTTACGGTTTTCGGGCAACCACGTCATTACACGTACGAAACAATGAAACTAATTGGAAACATTCTTTTGGATACGGGACAAGATCTTGAGTTGATCTTACCTTCATCAAGAGTGTAATTTTGCGGTCGGGAGAGCAACTGGGCTTCGGGCTGGACGGTCGGGGTTCGATTCTCTTCGCCACCTCGCGGTGTCTGGATTTTTCCGAGCGGCTGGAACGTGAGAAACTTCCCACTTTTTCACTCCGTGCGTCAGTGTGGAGCGTCGTCTTCTGGGTCGTGCTATGACGGCGTGACGTGTCGAAACGTAGAAGACGGCGATCCGTTTTGTAGTTCTGATTTTTAGTTTTGTTTTCGAGACGCGGACGTTTTGAATTTCGGAGGATTTTTGTTGTTGTATGAATTCGTCCGCACTAACGTCTAGACGAGCCTAGCGTTTGATGTTCTTCGAGTGTGCGTGTGTTTTGGACAGCGGTTACTCTGAAGTGAAGAAACCCCGACTAATTTAAAGGCAGAGACGATGTAGGGGCTAGTAAACCTTGTATTTGCGATGTGCGTTGGCCATCGCACAAGTCGCGAGAAAGTGTATCCTGTTCAGGAACTTACCGACTACGAGTAGAGTGGTGTTGGGCCGCATGTCTGCACTCCACCGACGTCTGCTGCTGCTGGTTGTCGGAAAGCAACTGGCCGAAGAACGAGAAAGTGTTTGACGCCTTCACCTGCAGAGCGACCATGTGCGCGAAAGTGCCTTGCCTGCCTCCGCCTCCGCCGAAGCCAGTTTCATTTCATTTCATCCTCCAGTCTCCCGCTGCTGGATGTACCGGATGTTAAACGAGCCTTCTTATGGCACATGCTACCCCACATTCTTAAACGTCCTTGACCAAGGCTGTTGTACGACGCGCTCTTACGAGATTTGAAATTACGTTGATGGACATGGTTCTTTTTAACCGCGGTCTTCTGGTTTGTCAGGGTGATTATCGCCCTGATGATGGACGCAGCAAGGACTTCTGAAACGCTGGTAAACTTCTTACCAGACTACACGGCCGCTACGACCCAGAAGACATCCTTCTTTATGTCGATGTTGGTCTTGTGAGTATGATCCCGTGTAATTCAGGACTGAAGAAGGTGGAATATTATTCCTCCGAAGCGTCTGTATCTCCTGCACGGACATGCATTTCGATGCTGATCACGCACGCGTTCTTTGATTGAACGCGTTGTAATGCGATTGTACGTCTGTCTGTCTGTCCTTTTCATGTCCACAACCAGATTCTTGAGAACTTCTCCACAGTAAAACCCCTGAGCCATTTCGTTTCTGATCGGCGCTGTATAATTTAAATGGGGAATCGATCTCCATTCTGCAACTTGGGGGGGGGGTCCTTTAAAAGGAGTTAACCGAGAAGCATGGGGGGGGGGAATCACTGCAGACTACGTTATATCGTGATTTTATGGGAGGAAATGAGAAGGGGCGTTGTCGTATTAGACCGCGAAGTGGCGACTGGATTCAGGTTGCTCGCGTTGCAATCCGATGGCGAAGAAGTTTTGACTTCGTAAAAGTGGGGAAATTTTTTACTTCCGGGATTTTTGTAGAGTTTCGTTTTATGTCGGAAGGCAACTTCTGTGCTGGATGACATCTGATTACGTCTTATTTGTCTTGTGTAATTGAACCAGATTCTGTACCGGCCTCGGAAGTGCCTCTTACACTTAATTACGTCAGGTTCATCTTTCGACAAGGTTTGGGTCATCTTCGTAACAGTTAATTTATGTAAAGTTTTAATTCTGGATTTGTTCCGACATGAATTTTCTTTTTCGCTCCGGAGTCCGTTACTTAGCAACCGTAAGAACTTCTCACATCCAAGAACAACAAATTCTAATTGCGTCATTCGGCTGTATAATTAGTTTCACACTTTCATTTGAATTCTTTTGCGCGGAAAGAGGTCGGATGTGAACCAGGCGCAGGCCCGTTTCCTTTCCCAGGTGCTGCCAACTGTGTACAGGATCTGAGATACGCAAGTCTCGTCTCACATTCCACAAGCCGCGTGCTCGCATCGTTACTGCGGAGAAATTGCGACAAATACTTGCTTACGTACGTTCAGCGCCGTTCTTCTGAGCTGAAAAACCTCGTTCATTGGCACTTGAACCCAGAAGCTATCCTGACAGCGTCAGGGGTTGTACTCATGACGGACATCGGCTGTTATACAGTTTGATCCAAAAGTCGCGCAACCCATGTTAAAATATCTATTTATGGTTGCAGTTTAAAACAGTTCGATTGGATTAACCCTTTGAAGCCGAAGCTCGTCTGAATATTATTTATGAATTCAGTCCGTACCGCGAAGAAAACACTACACCTCACCATTACGAAAATCAGCTGGTTAACCCTTTGAAGCCGAAGCTCGTCTAAATAGCATTTAAGAATCCAGACCGTACCGCGAAGAAAACACTTCACTTAACCATTAGAAGTCGAATCAGGCGGTACCACGTAAGATTTAACAAAAGAACATCCCGGTCAAAGCCTTAATAAGAACGCAAAATATCGCAGTGACTATCGAAGGGCCCGCGCAGGCCACGTCGTGTTGTCGAAATGCAAGGACGTATTTCTTCACAAGTGCCTGGCGTCTCGTAAAAAAAGTTTTTTGACGGAATTAAAGACACGGAGCCCAGGTGTTCGCATTCAGTGGGATCTCACGGTCCTCGGTACAAACAGCGATCACTTCCCAAGCCGTCATCAGCCCTCGAAGACTCCTGATGACCGTGTCCACTCCCTCTCCTTCGTTCGATTCTGGGGACAAACGGCGTTGACCAGCTGGAAAGCTTGTGTTTTCTTTGAGGTCGGGACTGAAGCACTCGTGTCTCTGGGGGTTTGGCGTCTTGAATGCGAGGTTGCCGAGTCGCAGTCAAAATGGCGCTTGAAGCAAATGCTGTTGGCCGCAGGTTTTGCACATGGCTTGTATATAATAAAATTGGACTGGTATGAATTGAGCCGCGAGCCTGCAGCGATTGTAGGGCCATCGGTTGGAAAACACCGATCTTTTTTTTTTTAAATTTTACCTTTACTTTCAAATGCAAATGTGGCATAACAATGGAGATTGCATTTGCATTGTGAGTGAGTGAAATTAAAATATTGCGTCATTCCGTTATAGAATGTGTTAATTGTTTTACCATTATTTTTCCTGATGGAGCTAGGTCGATTTATTCTTCGCATTGCAAGCTTGGATCCGCTCGCACTTTCATTGTTTATCCCGCAGCAAGTTTATTGCAAACAAAAAAGGTCGACTTTCCACTTAATTGTGGGAAAAGTGTGTTGTAATGTTTGTGTAAAGGAAGTGGATGGATGGACATTGCGCAGGCGCGAGAATCAGAGCTCTCATTTAAGGGAGGGGCAGTGTTTGTGGCTTGCTGCGTGGTTGTGGTTACTGTCACTCTGTTATTCCCTGGCTCAGTAGCTCAAAGACAGGGGTCCGGACAAAAGATGTGCATGGCATCCAGACGACTGCCGCGTGGCCTTGGCACTTCGCCCCCCGTTATCCGCTGTCGCTCGGAGCGTCGGAAATCTCGTCGAGTAAGAGAGCTGCACCTCGCCTGCCACCTGCCGGCGTACGGATGGAACTACGTGGCTGCCCGCCACGAGTAAAATGTCGCTCCATAACGTAACCTGTGTGATGACAGTTCCGGCCGGGAGCGAGGAAGTGACATTTGCGTTGAACCTTTTTTTTAATCTTTGTCAGTAAGACAGAAGCAGAACGTTCACGTGACTCTCTGTGGACTTGAACTACAGTCCAGAAAATAAAACATGAGATGTTTTCAGAAAGGTCGTTTGCCCTCGTCTTTAAGTACGTGCGAACGTTTGCTTGGAGGCCCCAAAGGAATGCGGTGGCCCCGGAAACTTAGAGGCGTTTAGGAAGGAGAAGAGTGACGGTTTGAAACGTCGGGGCCTTTGGAAATCCAGAAGCACAGGCTAATGAGACGACGCCAGCTGATTTTGAGGGACGCTGTAACATACGATGGATTGAATCGTGAAACTTCTGATTACCGCGCCTTATTGTTGGTTGTGCGGGGTCTCTGTGGCTCTGACAAATATTTCGACGGACTGGACGACCGGGGTTTGATCCCAGACCGGCTCTGGGGCCCACCCAGCCTCCTATCCAGTGGGTACTGGGGTCCTTTCTCGGGGGTAACCGCGGCCGGGACGTGATGCTGACAACTCACCCCTATCTAGAGCCGAGTAGGAGCTATACAGCCTCTCCCCCCAAGCGCCTACATGGCGTATAGTGGGACAGCTTTCCTTTGTTTTTACTAGGACTCGGTTTTTGTAAGAGGCTTTGCCATCTGGTTTCAAAGTACTGGAACTGCGGCGCTTGTCTCTTCCGTTGATGTTGTGAAAGTTGGATGTTGATTAGAGGTCCTGAAGAAGTAGCAGCTTTGTACTGCAGTCTTGCTGCTCTCTGCAGATGGCAGCACAGCAGGGAAGGCAACAGTTTTACGCCGCGGGTTGTGATCCAGCGAGGCTGGTGTTAAGAACTCTTTAAACGACCGCACCTCGGTGTGACTACGAAAACACCCAGTGGTGGACGACCGGGGTTCGATCCCCGACGGGAGCAGAGGATTTTTCCTCTAGCCTCTGCGTCCAGACCGGCCGCCTCTACAATGGGTACCGGGGGTCCTTTCCCAGGAGTAAAGCTGGCCGGGGCGTGATGCCGACCACTCACCCCCATCTAGTGCCGAAGTCAAGGAAGAGAGGAGCTATACCTCTGCTCTCCCCCCCAAGTGCCTACATGGCGTATAGCGGGACAGCCTTTTTATGCCCGTCCTTCCATTTGCCGTATTCATTTTAAAATTCGAGCGACAATGAAAAGTATCAGTCGTTGCGTTTTTTAGCCTTGTGATTCTAAAAGCTGCCCAGTGCCAGCAGCACTTTTTAAAATTTTCCCATCCAGCGTCATTACTAACTTATTTTAGCGCGACCAAACAGCAGATTGGGTTTCGTACGTCTTTC